ACCTTGTTATCTCAGATTCTCCAGCATCTGCAGTTCCTACTATCTCACACCCTTAACTCATCTGTCTTACCTATCATACTCCTGCCATTTATGTAGAAGCCAACTAGCTTCACCTTACTCCCTTCACACACCATTTGGCTGAACTCCCTCTTTTCTAAGTTATGCTGTGTCATTACTGAACAAACACACTATGACCCCAGGCCCTGCTGAACAGCACAAGCAAATCCACCTGCAAGGATGTTAGTTCCATTCTGGTTCAGGTGCAGACCATCCCACTTTCATCCTCCCCAGAAATGGTCCCAGTGATCTGTGAACCTAAAACCCTTCTTCCTGAACCAACTCTTGAGCCATGCATTTATCTGCCCTATCGCTAGCCTGTAGCACTGGGAGTAATCCTGAGATTACAACCTTCACGGTCTTGCTTCTTAATCTATTGCCTAGCTCCCTGAACTCTTGATGTAAGACCTCATCCCTCATTCTATCTATATCAATGGTACAACGACCTCTGTTTTATCTACCTCCCCATTCAGTGAAATCCCTATATCCCAGTTAATATGGGATTTGAATGCACTTCCTCAGACCATTAGCCTGCGCCACTTGATCATTGGTCTATGACATCACAATGCCACCATTTCCCATCACCACTATGTTGACAGTGGAGACATTCAGTGATGGTAATGCCCTTGAATTAAGTAAGAACGTTGTTGGCCTCAATTCTTGCAAATGATGTGATGCTGGGGATGGTCACTTTTGCAGCCTATATGCTACTTACCAACATCAATTCAAACCTGGATATGTCCAGGTCTTGCTTCATATGGAGATGACATGCTTCAATATTTGAGAAATTGTAAATGGTGCTAAACATGGCAAACATCCCAGTTCCAAATGTATGATGGGGGAAGGTCATTAATGAAGCATCTTAAGGTGATAGAACATAGGACCTCCCCAGAGAAATGCAGATATGTCCTGGAGCTGAACTGACTGACCTCCTACAACCCCAACCACCTTTCTATGTGTTTTACACATATGCAGTCAGCCATTGGAAAATGCTGCCATGCCAAACCAAACCCCACTGATGTAGGGAGGGCATGTTACACACTCCCATCAGCTCTATAATTCAGCTCGTCTGTCTTTGTTTTCAAAAACGTTTCTTTAAATTATTTTTCATCTATCAAATTACAGATTTTGGCAGAAATGACAGAAAATCGAAATAAAATGTTCTCTTTTAAAGAGATTTATGTTAAAGAGATTACAAGCAAACTAAAGAGAGTCAGCTCCCATCTATTTACTCGAAAGATTAAGGGTCATTTTAGCCGAAACGTTAACTCTTATTTCTCTCCCTAAAGGCTGAGTTTCTCCAGCATTCTCTTTGGCTGTTACGCCGACACCTTCCCCGAAGAGATTACATTAGTAGCAAGTGGTGAGGAAGCTGTCGAGAATCCGGACTCACTTCTTTACCATGTGCTGCTGTTACGAAAACTTGAAGCGGAGGCGAGGTTGCGGAAGTAGGTGTCAGTAAAAATGAAACCTAAAAGGCTCTCAAGCCCTGCCAGACACAGAGACCCGCTAGAACTCTCTCAGATTATTCTCCGCCAAGTGACCCAACAAAACCGAGGAACTGGCTTGGAAATTCCAAGAAAACGTGGGGGGAGGCGGGAGGGTTGAAGGGTGGGGGGAGTTGCTGAATAAAACTGATTAATTGACAGCTCTCTGGGTCTCTGAGCCGCTGTGATTTCCAGCGCTTTGTTGTTTTCAGGAGAGACTCCAGCGTCTGCAGTTCATTCGCTCCTACTCCTTGGTCTCATGTGCTGTAAGGATTCTATGCCAAGCCAGAAGTTGTGAACGGATCACAGATCGCTGGAACTTGAACCATTTGTAGGTTACCACCGACAAACTACACCGCCAGCCCGGAGTGTGATCTCTACTTGGGGCACAAGTCAGATCGAATAAGTAACTCCATCGGGCAATTCCACACGTGGGGTTTGAGCCAAGAGCACAGGGTGGGAGTCCAGGTGTGAGAGACTAGCTCACCCCCTTTATCCTGAGGTTACTTGGAATGGCCCCGACATCAACAGCAAGAAAGATCCCAGCATATACACCCCCAAACCCCCATGACCAGTGACTGCCACCCCTGTCATCCATAGGGCCATAGAGACAGCACGCCCTCCCCCACCCCCACGTCAGCCTCCAGCTTACCTCTGTCTCCCTGCCTGTGTTTTCCCCTCTATCTGTCTCTCTGTCTCTCATACACACACATACTCCCAGAGCAGGGTCACTTCCTGTTACTGCAGCACTGGACTCTTTGGGAATGTTCCGAGTGAACTCTTCAGTAGATCCCCCACGCCGCCAGTTCCCTTCATTGAGCTGCCGCCTCGGCTTCTCACGGCCCCGGCACCAAGCAGTGAGCAGCGCTAGAGGAAGGCGGCGGGGCTAAGCTCCCCGTCAGTCAGACAGACTCGCACTCGCTTCATAGCATCAACTCGTCCTGTGCAGCTCTGCGACGCGTCCTGTCGACTGGGTGTTGGGGAGCGGTGTACAGCACGCCGCAGATCTGATCATGAGATACACGTGCGGACAGTAAGCGCTGATACCCCCATCTGCAACCCTGCTTATTCCCAAAGTTCCAAAATTGCAATTTTCAGGGGAAGTCGTGCCTTATTTAACTCATATTTACAAAGGGATGACTGTAAACATTCCTTCTGCTCCCTGCAAAGGATAAAATTGAAAGTCATTACTTTTTAAAAAATCTCTCTTTGATCAAGCTTTTACTCACTTGTCACTTAGGTGGCTCAGTGTCAAGTTTTTTTTCATGATTGCTCCTGTGTGCAGTTTTGAAGTTTTACGAAGCAAGAAGGCGCTATAGTCAAGCTGCATTGAAATGTATTAGGAAACGGGCACGAACAAACTCGGGTCACAATTCATTTTGCAAAGATGCTCTAAGTGAGAGACAATCAGGTGGGTTTTCTGGAGAAGTTGCAGGAATTTCCTCAATCGAATTTGTTGTTCAAACTTTCATCCGGAGAAGAGATAGGCTGAAAACTGGAGCACACAACTTGGCCGAAGAGGCACATGGACTCGAAATGTTAAACTCTGTTTCTCTCTGCATAATTGCTGCCAGACCTGCTGAGTTTCTCCAGAACTTTCTGTTTGCATTTCAGTCTTCCAGCATTCACAGTATTTTGAGATAACAAGGTGTAGACGTGTACTTCAGAAAGGGTCTTCCATTTTCTGAAGCAGGGTCTAGGCCCGAAACGTCAGCCTTCCTGCTCCTCTGATGCTGCTTGACCTGCTGTGTTCATCCAGCTCTGCACCTTGTTATCTCAGATTCTCCAGCATCTGCAGTTCCTACTATCTCCACAGTATTTTGCTTCTTTTGGAATGATGATGTTGAGGTGGGCAAGTTCTACGTCCCTTGGATCAGCATTGAAGCCAAATTCTAATTGGTGTCTAACTGCTGGAATCAGGGGCTGTCTAGAATTGGTTAAATTTGCACGAAGCTACGGAAATCATGTTAGACATTTGCGCCATAAGAAAAGATTGGTTTCTTTTTAAAGTAGCCTTTAGCTATTCCATATCAGCATTTCAGAACTCCAATCTACTGTGAACATACATTTCAAATCTACATTTTGTTTATATTGCTGCAATATTTGAGGAATGGGTGTGATCCACCTAATGGATATCACTGCAGGGAGACAGCTAAACAAATGCCACTATCACTCTCAGATAAGGTGCAAGACAGCTAGTTATAATGCAAAGCTCAATTCATTCAACTCTAGCAGCAGAGTTTAACTAAACCTCAGAGAGAAAAAAAATCTCCTAAAACACAAATGTCTCAGTTAAGAGTCCCAGAGCAGTCAATCATGTGGCCTTTCCGTGAAATTCCCAGTTGAGTGCCAAATTAGCAGCAATTTTGGCCTGTGGGCTTACATCCACTGAAAATAATAGTGAGATCATTCAAGCCGATTCAAATTCCATGGTATTGATGCCAGCAGAAAGAAAGGAGATTCATCTCATCAGCCAAGGTTGGAACCAGACTGAAAAGGATATTCATCTTCAGTTGTAGCTGCTTCTCTACTGCCAGACTGAAGTTACAGTTCTATCCATTGAAGAGCAAATAAGTTATTTTGAATAATGGTCCACATTTTGCCTTCTTCTGTAAAGGAATGGTGCTCTTAACACTGGCTTTCGTGGGTCTGCTACAAACCCACCAACTCCCACAGTTACCTGGACTATACATCCTCACACTCTGTTTCCTGTAAAGACTCTATTCCATCTCCTAGTTACTCTGTCTCTGTCGCATCTGTTCTGATGAGGCCAACTTCGACAAGGGAGCCTCCGAAATGTTCACTTTCTTCCTCAACCGAGAATTCCCCAGCACTGTTGTCGACAGGGCCCTCAGCCTAGTCACATGTTCTACACATGTCCTCCACTTCAGCCCTCACCCCTTCTCTTTCCTCCTGCGACAGCGATAGGGTCCCCCTTATCCTCACCTACCATCCTATCAGCATCCACATCCAGAGGATCCATTAGCTGCAATTTCCCCCACCTTCACCAGAGACATATCCTCCTCCTCTCCTTTGTCAGCCTTCCACAGGCACTGTTCCTTTTGGGACACCTGGTCCACTCTTCCTTCACTCCCAACATCCCCCCCGCAGCCCCACGGCACCTTCCCCTGCAACCACAGACGGTGTAACACCTGTCCTTTTACTTCCTTCCTCCCCAGTATCCAAGGGGCCCAAACACACCTTCCAGGTGAAGCAGCACTTTACCTGCACTTCCCAGAATCTAGTCTACTGCATTTGTTGCTCACAATGTGGTCTTCTCTACATTGGGTAAATGAAGCGTAGACTGGGTGACCGCTTTGCAGTCCGCTTTTCTGTCCACATAAAAGACCCTAAGTTTCCAGTTGCCTGCCACTTCAACTTACCACCCTGTTCTCTGGCCAGCATCTCTGTCTCAGACTTGCTGCAGTGTTCCAGCAAAGCTCAGCATAAGCTGGAAGAAAGCACCTCATGTTCTGCTGCGGGGCCTTGTAAGCCTCTGGACTCAATATCGAGTCCATCAGCTGTAGGGCTTGAGCTCTCTGATGTCCTTATCCCAACCTCCATACAACTGGCCTTGTTATCACATAGTCTGCTACTACACACAACTCACTGTAAGCCACTAACAGTCCCCATTCATAGCTATTCACTCCCCAGCCAGATTGTTATCTACAGCTTTGTCTGTTAAATGTTCTTGTCTCTCTTTGGGCTCTATCCACACTGTTTACTCCTTACCCCTACGGGAGTCTGTCAATACTGGGGAAGTTAAAAATCACCCTCTACATACACTCTTTTCTTTTCATCTTTTGATGATCTGCTACACATCTTCTGCTGGCTATTGGGGGGCCTGAAATATAACTCTATCATAGTGATTACACCTTTCTTGTTACTAAGTTCTACCCATATAGCCTTGCTAAATAAGCCCTCCAAAATGTCTTCTCTTAGTGCAGCTGTGACATTCTCCTGAATCAATAATGCAACTCTGTCACCCTTTTACATCCCTCTCTATCACATGTGAAACATCTAAAGCTTGGAACATTGAGGCCCTGCCCTTCTCTTCAGCAAATTTTTGTAATGGCTACAACATTGTAGCTCTATGTACTAATGTAGGCTCTAAGCTCATCTGCCAAACCTGTTATATTCCTTGCATTGAAATAAATCCACTTCAGACTACCAATCCTGCAACGTTCATTAACCTGGTCATGCCTGTTCTTCCAATTAGACTTATTGACTACCTTCTCCTAATCACTCTACATGCTGATCTACTGCTTTGGTTCCCAACGCCCCCAAATACCCTCCAACCCACACACACTAGTTTAAACCCTCCTGAGTGACACTAGCACATCTCCAGTTTAGGTACAAAATATCCTTCTTGTACAGGTCCTTCCAGCCTGGAAGAGATCGCAATGTTTCAGATATCTGAAACCCTCCCTCCTCTACCCGCTCTTTAGTCACGCATTCAACTGTATTAGCTTCCTATTTCTGGCCTCACCAGCACATGGCATAGGATGTAATCCCAAGATTGCAACCTCAGAGATCCAACTATTCAACATTCAACATAACTCCCTATGGACCACGACATCTGGCTGTTCACCCTTCTTTTCAGAATGTCTTGCGCCAGCTCAGACACATCCTTGACTCTGGTACCAGGGAGGCAAGACAGAAAGCTAGAGTCGCGATTATGGCCACAGAAAGGCCTATCTGTTCCCATGACTATAGAGACATCTAGCACTACAGCTTGCCTATACTTCAACCCTCCCTGCTGTACAACAGAGTCAATCGTGGTGCCACCAATGTAGCTGCTGCTGCTGTTTTCCCCTGACAGGCCATTCCACCACCTGTAAATCCCCAACAATATCCAAAATGCTAAACTTGTTTAAGAGGGGAACAGCCACAGGGGACACCTACACTACCTGCCTGCCCCTCCTGATGGTCATCCATCTATCTCACTGAACTTTTGGTGTGACCCCATCCCTTAAACTCCTATCTATAAAATTTTCTGCCTCCTGTATGCTCCTCAGTGAGACTAACTGCTGTTCCATTCGATGCATGTGGTGTGAGAGGAGCTGCAGGTGGACACACTTCCTGAGACATAATTGTCATCGTTGTCAAGTCAAGTATGGTTTGGGCCCATCAAGAGTGAGCTTTGGTGACAGGCAATTTCAAGAAAAGTGCAAGGAGTGACATTAACTGCTTATGGCCTTTCTCAACCTCACAAAACCAAAAGGCCACGACACCAGACCATGTCAACTTGTTCCAAGCTGAGTGCAGTCTCAGCTGTCTGGAGGAACATCCAGCACCTTAAGAAGAAGATCAATGACCTTTTCTACTACTCCAGCTGATGCAGCCCATCTTGTCTCTGATACCTCACACTAATTCCGTCTCGGTAGTGTATTCATTTCCCACCAAGTCTCTTGCTCTACCACTCTCACTGTTGTCTGCAACACCTTCCCTCCCTCACTGTCATCCATCCCAACCTCTGACACCACTAACCTTGTGTGTCCTCTGCATTGCTGACTCACCCACTCAAGGATACCTCACCTACACCAAAAATAACAGCTATGCTGCTCACTTTCATTTCTCTTA